AATTTGAAATCTTGTTTCTTGCCAATCAATCTTTGAATGCATTAAATCCTCTTTCTATCGCCACCACAATTAATTTGCGTTCTTCTGTGATTTTTCCTTTCTTTTTTAAGTATTAATGAATTCAATTAACTATATTATCAATTTGTAACCCGTAATCACTACGTTAATTCATGCAATTATGACTATGATTTTACTGTGCATACCTTTATGTGAATTAATATTATATGGTTTTAATTAAACCTTGATATATGTACTCGTTGATTCTTTTTACTGTAGAGCACAATTTTAAATGATTTTAAATTTGAGTTATTGAATACAATAATATAGATCTGATTTGCAATTTCATAAGACCTATAAATATTTTCAAAGAATATTTTGTTGTTGTTCCCGAAGCAACACACCATCATAATTAATATTCTAGAAGAATATTAATTGTAGATCTACCTATTATAAATAGTTTATTGTTGCTCCTGAAGTAGCACAACATTATAATTAATATTCTTGAAAAATATTACTTACTCCTGAAGAGTATAAATTATATATTTTTTAGAAGAATATTGACATGTAGTTCCAGAAGAAACACAACTCTGTAAATATTATATTAGAAAATATACTCTTGAAGAGTTAAAATTTTCTAAATAATAATTTATTGTTGCTCCTGAAGTAGCATACTATTATTTATGTTCTAGTTATATTTCTCCTGCTCCTAAAGAGCATAATTAAAAATTATGTTTTTTTACTCCCGAAGAGTAAATTATTATGCAATTTATTATTTTAAATAATAATATGTTATTGCCCCTGAATAACATGACACTGCACTTCCAATATTTAAAAGAAAAAAATTGATATATTGCTCCAGAAGAAGCAAAAATTAATATATATTAATATTCTTGAAGAATGCTGTATTGTGTTCCCGAAGAAGCACAAATTTATAAATATTAATAATTTCGAAGAATGTTATGATTAATTTAAATATAATAATATTCCTGAAGAATATTGTTATATTATTTGTAAATAATTATAATTAGGTATATATCAATATTCTATAAGAATATTGTTTTGATATTATAGAAGAATCAACACTGCGTAATGTAGGAGAATAAAATTTTACGATTGATAGTATTCTCTACTAAATTAAAGAGAAACATGCTAAATTTCTAAAATGTGGTACAATTAAAATAAATATTATATTGAATCAGAAGTTCAATTTATTTGGCATGACCAGTTGGATCATCACTTGATCAATAATGATGCGAAATGAGAATTCAAATGGACATTTAAGAAGAACCAGAAGATTCTTCAATCTAAGATTTCATATTTGATATTTGTTCTCTTTATTGAAAATTGGTCATTGATTGTTACTAGTTAAATAAAGATTCAATTTCATATATTTCTGAAAATTAATTAGGGTGATATATGGGGCTCCGTCACCCTCCACGTTGACCATCTAAATATTATTTGTATCTAATAGATTTGATACAAATATTAGATGATTGCATGATGTTCGCAACTTGAAGTTTGCGAAAATACTACTCAAATTATGAGCATAATTTTCAAATTATACAATTAAGACAGTGCGTCTTTTAATACTAGTGATCCTAAATCACAACTTTTTAATAAGTGTTAGTTGAGATGTCGATAAATGGTTTAACATTATTGTTTGTTAAACACCTTCAATTACTTCTCATTTCAATTTAGAGAAAGTTATTATGCATCATGCCAATATCATAGTTCTCCTAATTACAACTTGGCTTATGGGCAGAGCCTAATTTTTCCATCAAATTATTTCGATAGTGCAATATATGTAAAATTGATCCACCACAATGCACTGAGATGGAAATGAAAGAATGCTGAGAATAAATGCGTAGCTTGAACCCTTATTCCAAATGGGTGATATTTTATAATGCTGGAAAAATGAATGTCAATTTGATATGACAATTTTCTCTGCATTTGGGGGAAGAAGTAAGAAGTTGAAAATAATATACAAATGCATCATTATCTAAATTATCTCAAAAGACAATTCGAACCAGAAGTTCGAAAAATAATTCATTTAGATATATTTACTGATCAAAAAGATTAACAATCTCACACATCAGCTTTAAATACTGCAACTCGAATTGACTCTTGGAAGGAAAATTCGTTGACATTATATTTGATAAATTTATGGCACACTTGAAGCGTGATAATATTCGATTTTATTACAAAATCCTCCAAACGAAAATGGAGCAATTGGTAAAGATGATCTTATTAAAAAGGAATATACTCTTAATGAGTATTTAGACATAACATATTATAAAACCCCAGAAGAGGTTCAAGTATCTGAAATTATGAAAATTGATATATCTCAATAAATTATGTTATTATGGAAAAAGAGATAAAATCGAAAAAGATAAGAAAAAGTTGTCGACAACACTTTTGCACATGATATACTGCATCTTATTATGAATAGCAAATGAATCTCAAATACGCCAGAAGCGTGGTCAACCAATTGGTTCAAAAGACTCTGTACCTCGAAAAAGAAAAATACAAGAAAAAAACCAACCAAAAACTTCAGAAGAAATAACATTAGAGAAAATTGATCAATCAAATATTGAAAATATGGTTCCTGAAAAATCACAAGTGTCCGAAAATAATGAGATTTCAATAAATTATATGTTATCTCATAAATTATGGGAGCGAAGTAATGTTGTTATAGAGAATGTTTTCGCATTTAACGTGACTCTTGATATTATGCAAAATGAAGATCATAAACCACTGTCTGTTAAAAACTGTCAAAATAGAAATGATTGGCCAAAATGGAAAGAAGTCATACAGACGGAATTGAATTCCTTGGAGAAACGAAAAGTGTTTGGACATGTAGTTTGAACACCTGAAAATGTAATTCCTGTTGGATACAAATGAGATTTTGTACGAAATAGAAATGAAAATAATGAAATTATAATATACAAGGCCCGACTCATAGCCCAAGATTTCTCACAAAAACTGGGAATTGATTATGAGGAAACATATTATCCCGTAATGAACACCATTACTTTTAGATTCTTAATTAGTTTGACTGTGTCCAAAAGCTCGATATGCGTCTTATGGATGTAGTGACTGCCTATTTGTATGGTTCACTTGATAGTGACATATATATGAAAGTCCCTGAAAGACTTAAAGTGCAAGAAACAAATTATACATGCCAGAGAACCATGTTCTCAATTAAATTGCAAAGATCGTTATATGGATTGAAACAATCCGGACGCATGTGGTATAATCGCCTTAGGGAATATTTGTTGAAAGAAGGCTATAAAAATGACGATATCTGCCCATGTGTTTTTATAAAGAAAATAAATATTGGATTTGTAATTGTGGCAGTTTATGTTGATAACTTAAATTTAATTGGAACTTCAGAAAAGCTCAACAAAACTACAGATTATTTGAAAAATGAATTTGAGATGAAAGATTTGGGGAAAACCAAATTCTGTCTCGGGTTGCAGATTGAACATTTCCCATAAAGATTATTCGTTCATCAATCTACATATACAAAAAAAGTTTTGAAACGATTTTATATGGATAATGCACATCCATTGGCTTCACCTATGGTTGTTCGATCACTTGATATAAAATATGATCATTTTCGTCCACTTGAAGATGGAGAAAGATTCTTGGTCCTAAAATACCATACCTTAGTGCAATTGGAGCATTAACTTATCTTGCAAATTGCACTCGACCAGACATAGCTTTTTCTGTAAATCTACTTACAAGATATAGCTCTACACCAACACAAAGACATTGGAATGGTGTTAAACATATTTTTCGTTACCTAAAGGGTACTATTGATTTGGGATTATTTTATTATCAAAAGTCGGGATCTACTTTAGTGAGATATGCAAATGCAGGTTATCTCTCTGACCCACATAAAGCTAAATCACAAACAGGATACGTGTTTACACGTGGAGGAACGGCTATATCATGAAGATCTGTGAAGCAATCATTGACAGTAACATCCTCAAATCATTCTGCAATTATTGCAATCCATGAAGCAGGCCGAGAATGTGTATGGTTGAGGAACATGACCAATCATATCCAAATATCATGCGGATTAATTTCAATAAAACATAGTCCAACAATTTTGTATGAAGATAATGTTACTTGCATTGCACAACTCAAATGAGGTTATATCAAAGGTGATAAGACGAAGCATATTTCTCCAAAATTCTTTCATACACACGAGTTTCAGAAGAATGGCGACATCGAGGTTCAATAAATTTGTTCAAGTGACAATTTAGCTGATTTATTTACAAAAGCACTGCCAACATCTACATTCAAGAAATTGGTTCACGGGATAGAATGCGTCGACTCAAAGATTTTCAGTGATCAACATCAGGGAGAGTAGCTGTACTCTTTTTCCTTGTTTAGGTTTTATCCCACTGGATTTTCCTAGCAAGATTTTAATGAGACAGCATTTATCTTTAATACTCCAAAATAACTGCTCTTTTTCCTTCGTTTTGATTTTTTTTTTGTCCCACTGGGTTTTTATCAAACAAAGTTTTAACGCGGCATATATTTTTTAATGTGTCATTCAAGGGGAAGTGTTGTAAAAGGAAAGTAAATTAGGGTTTAGTGTGAATGACACTTATACCCCTGCATGAGGGGAAGTGTTGTAAAAGGAAAGTAAATTAGGGTTTAGTGTGAATGACACTTATACCCCTGCAACCCTAGATATAATTACCATATGTATCCCTATTCCTTCCCTATAAATATAGGGCTTTGGTTCTCATTATAATACGCACAAGTCTATTTGACTTCTCTGATTCTTTTCTCTTTTCTCTCTTTTCATAACAATTAGATATTTAATCTACTCACGTCCACTTTACTATTTATTTACAATAAAGTACGCTTGCGGGATATCAAAATCAACAACAATACCAGTATTTTATTACCACCAGTTAAAAAGCACATATGAACTGGGAAAATGTCTGTCATTTAACAGTTAAATACGAGTTCTCTTAACCATTTCAGAACATTTTCCCAGTGCCCTCCTTGCGCGGGATGGATTCATGTACATCCATTTTACGCCAGTTGCTAACCAAGGGGGCTAGCTCCTGAGTTTTGTCGAACAATCCCAATAGACCACCGGTATGAATGAAGAGGATTCTTCTTCCTTCCCAATTCTTTGGATTCTCAGCCATGTCTCTAATCATCCCATAAGCCGCTTTTCCACTGCAGAATGCACAAACAAAATAATTCCGTTCAGAAAAACTTCCACAACTGTGTCCTATCTGTTGAATATACGTCTTCACAGATCGCCATCCAGCAGGTTAATTACAGCTATGGAAAGTCTAAACTTGCAGCAGGCTTTAAGTGAAGTATACAATTTCATACCTGTAGACTGGGTCAAGAACCACACCAGAAGCTTCAGCAATTTCCTGGACAAATTTTAGCTCCTCAGTTGTATTCATTGCATATCCAAGACCTTTGGCCTGTAAAGAGCCAAAAAGATGAGCATTGAGCTTTACATCTACGTTGTATATACACTTTTGCTAGACACTGCTACAGGACAACAAGCAAAAAACTTGAAATGTTTTAAACAGCATTAGCGTAATTCAGAGAGAATCATTATGTACTAAAACGCTAGTCCAGCCTTTTCGACAAGAAAATGATTTCTACATAAATCAATAAGCTTCAGAAATACAGAATATCTACATCCCATCAATTGTATAACAAATAATATAGAAGACATGAAAACAACAACCAAACTAGAGTCTGCCATCGGAATCCTTGAACATGAAAGAAGGATACCACAACAATCTGAACAAAATTAAACATGTTCTCACATTTTGGATGGTAACTATAGTACGTGAACTAACGCCTGCTTGAAGGCCATCAAGTAGGCCTTGGGCATACTCGTAGAAGTACTCAGGGTCATCACAGACACAGTAGGCATGAACCTACAATCGAGACAATTATATGTAATAATTAATTTTGAAACCAATGGGGCAGAAGATAAAAGTCGAAAAGTAAGAATGTGTACTTTAGCTTTCAGATCACTCAGCCAAGATCCTACAGACAAACCAGCAATTGTACCCCCACTGAAAATCATGAACAAGAAAACATTGAGATAAATACAATCAGGCTATTACGTGGTAACTTCTTTAAACGCTATTGGGAAAATTCAGACAGACCAGTTGTTTCTTAAAGAATTAAATTTTCTTGGTGCAAATTTCCACATATTCCACCAAAATAAAGAAAAAGGCAGGACCTACTTGGTACAGTAACTGTTTAAGTTAACTAAAACTCTGATGGATTCAACATGTTTATTGAGGTAGCAATGTCAAAGTAAGTACAGTCATAAACTATTGAAACACTAAATTCATGTCAAACACATCCATGTGCGTAGAAACATAGGCCTTAACCATCAGATAGAAAATTATTCAGAGTAGTAGGAGCAGAAGGAATACTATTAGGGTTATTCCCCTTGTACCGAGNAAATAACAGAAAACGAGTTATTCCCCTTGTACCGAGGGGGGATAACCGAATGGTGTACCCCCCTCACATGGGGCACGGACCCCATGTGTTTTTAAAAATGTCGGCTCGTGGTCCCCACCTCCTAATGTGAGTGGGGTGTAAAAGATTAGGTAAAAAATTATGTACATGTAGCATAACCCATACTATTAAGACCATTGGATGTTATTTTTTGGTGACAAAAGGAAACAACAACCCTCTGATATTCTTCTGTTTTCAGAATGTAATAGAGGAACTGAAGTTTACATGAACAGAATCTATATTTTCTTAACAGATAAAATTACAATCGAATCCAGACTTATAAAAAAACTTGCAGATCACAACTGGAAGTCTGGAAGTATATTATAAATGCTACCTGCCGCATGCTACAACAATGTCATCAAATACTACTCCATCTTTAGCATCCTGAAGCTGTTCTTCAATCTCCCTAATAGCTTCAATATAGCCCCTGAAAACACAAAGACTGTTTCGTGAACAATTTCATGCTAATAAGATGAAATTAGACCATTGTAATTTGATAAACTCTCCCCAGGCTTCCACCCTACATATAGTGTAAAAATAGAGGATGACACTTAACATCCAGCCTTACCAGGTTCCTAAAGAATTGGACCCACCTACAGGAATGACGTACGGCTTTCTCCCTTCATTTAACAATTTTGCTTTCAATATGTCAGTAAGAGCCTGATATCAGAGAAGTACCCGTCAGAGGGCATTGAAAAATATGTTGTTCAATAGCAATAAGTAAAGCAGTAAAACACAGGTACCTACGCGAGAAGACAGCATTAACTTTGGTATAACATAAATGATTCACGACCTAAACATTAGTAATGCCCGATAAAGATGTGTAATAATTAAATAAAAGTGTTATTTAGCCTTATAACTCTGAGATCTTCAGCGTATTTTCCCTGTCAGGAGACATTCCTGAACTCCTTGTTTTGTATGCAACAGAGAAAATTTTGAGTACCTAGGATGAATCTGTTTCAACTTTTTACCACCTACCAAAGATTTTTCTCATGTTTGAATACCATAAAATTTAGATCTGCAGACATAGAACCCATTGTTAGGGTGGCCCAGGATGGACAACAGTTTCCTGCCGAGCTGGTCTGGGCCAGGCCGTCTGTGCTGAAATGTTCAGCTAGTGCCTGGTTGGGCAGGTCATGAGATCCAAAACCCATTTTCCCCTTTTTATATGATTTTCTGGATAAGCAAATGCGGAGCTGTGCCTGGCTACCCAGTCCTGTCATAGCCCAGGTTTAAACCCCCCCTATCTACGAATTTATTAACCAATATCATATAATAAAACAGACCAACAATCAAAATAAGTTTTTATCCCACCCCATAAGGCAGAGCAACATAGAGGAAGGTAATCATATTACAGTTCATATTTAAGAGAGAGACGTACTACACTTCCAACTTTTGCATATTCTTCCTTTGAAACAAGGTCAATATGTGCTCCAACCAATCGCTCAACCAAGAGATTTCCAGTTAATCCAGGATCTTTGTCCACAAGAACCTGCAAAATTAGAAGATGATAGCTAATACACGTACAGAATACAGAGAGGAAAGAGCACATAGCTTCTGAGCAGAAGCCTAACTGAAGCAATCTAATAACATCCAAAACCAAGTACCTTTGAAGTACGTAGGATAAGATAACAGTCAAGGTTCAAATATTTTGCTGCCACGGCTGTGGCCCGGCAGTGATTGCTTTGTATCCCTCCAATAGTTATGATGCAATCTGCCCCCTGTGCCACGGCATCTGCCAACAAGAATTCAAGTTTCCTGACCTTGTTACCACTCAATTGCATTCCTGAAAGATCATCACGCTGTGAAATGCAAATTCCCTCATTAGATTACAGAATATAATAAACCAACAAGACAGTTCAAGAAATAGATAACATATTCTTGTCTAAAATACACCACACATAATCCACTACTCCATTGCAAATCTTACAGCAAAACATGTTCATAATATTTAAAACTGTGCGGAATACAATGTACTAGAAAAACACCAGAAACCAAAACCCACAATCAACCACTCCACTTCTTGATATTAGAACAGCACGTGTTAATAATAATCTAAAACTGTACATTGGACAATGTTATGGTAAATACATAATCCAAGAGTGAGTATGTTATTTAGAACAGTTAGTTGCATCCTGAAGAGGTTGTTGAATGTCCAAGTTAATCTGATTCTGAAACATAGAGCAGAAAAGAATCCATAACACTTTCTTTGATAGATCTTGCACACATCTCAAAATTCTATATTCCACGTTAAAATCATGAGCAAGTCAGTGTCCAGTGGTTCAGTTTAGAACTATTAGTTCAGAACATGTAGGTCGTTCAGACTAAATACTTTAGTAGACTGGTTTTCTTTAGTTCGTGACAGCATTCCAATACTGAAAACTACTCAAAGGGGTCAAGAAATATTAGAAGTCACAAGGTTGCAAATTTTTACTAATGGCATGCAATCCATGCATGAGTAATGCTATTTGTACATTATGGTTTACAGATTCATGTACAGAATGATGACATCAAACAGAGACAAAGAGAGGGGGAAAAAAAGGCGTCAGTTAGTAAACCAGGATGTACAAATAGCATTACTCATCCATGCATAGATGAAAAAGTTATCTTACATATATCATAGAAATTCTTACACACCCAAACAAATATGTGCACTTTAATCAACAAGTTCTTGATGAGCCATGACCATCAAAATTATTTCTCTATCTATATGTCAAGTTTATTGAATTTTTTTGTCGTGCTCCTGTTGCTATTTCAAATCACAAGTTATTTTTATTTCTAAGGCAAATGTGAAATGCCTGGAAGTTATTGCTGCATTCATAATCCAAATTTTTGAAAGTTCCTAAATAAAAAGCATTCTCTTGTTTTAGCTTTATAAAAACAAATGATATACTATGAGGAAAGTCCATTTTGACAACAAATCCAATCCCTTAGGATGAATATCGATATTACCATGCCAAAAGTTTCAAATTTCAGTTAGCAATTCCAACAGTGAGTGAAATTTCATTACCTTGATATAAACCTCTGTCCCCTTGGGCAAATTAGGAAGGTTCCACTTGTGAATTGGAGTCGGAAACTATTAAAAATATATATATCAGTCACTCAAATTAAACAGAAATTTCAATAATTAACAATCAACATCTACATATACCTACATGCCCAAGCGAAAAGACATGAGAGGGAATAGGATTGAGGTGGGATGCCCATGAAGGTGGCACGTAAGGCTTCTTTGTAAGGAATTCGAATGTACGTTTTGGGGGTTTAATGACAGCTTCCATTGCAATTTTCGATCTAGTTGAGGAATTCGCTGGCGAAGAAGAATACGAGGAGCGTATAATTTCTTGTTTTGAGATTAATTTTATTGAATTTTTCTTGCTATTGATGATCGATTGAATGGGAAATGATGCAGGAGCAGGGTTGAAGATGATTAAGGATCCTCTGCTAAAGTTCCAGTTACAGCATAGCATCCTCTTTTTCTTTTGTTTTCCTTTGTGGCCGCCGGCCGGCATAAAAACTTGAATTAATAATAATAATAACTGGTCTTCGTCTCGTTCTTCTATTCATTTTCAACCACACATTTTTTAATAAAATAATATTTTCCATTACATCAATAATTTTTCCTTCTTTTTCAACCACATAGTCACAATCACATCAACAATAAAAATGCATTCTTACCTTCAAAATATGCACCAAACGGGAGCTTAATAATAATATTAATAGTAGTAGTAATAAATTAAGGTTGTCACTATTTACGTCCACAATTGTTATATATTCATCAAACTCTATATTCATCCCCTTTTAAAATATTAAAATTTTAAAAAGTACTATTTTTATCCACGTCAAATTTCAATATTGTCCTTATTAAATTCATTTTTTTTAAACATTATAGATCCACACAAATTTTATGTATTCACCCAACCCTAATGCAATTTCAAAATTTTAAAAAATCATTAGGGTTTTATGATTTTAGTCGAAGATTATATTTTATGATTATTAGAGTTTTAGTTAAACACAAATTTGAAAAGAATATAAAAAGGTTTAAAAGAATTTAATGAAAATAAATATTGGTTGATGAATATAAAACAATATATTTTTATTTAATTTTATATATGTTTATTTAGGTAAATTTACATAAAATTTAAAATAAAATATAATTAGATTAACAATTTTATTATTCAAGAAGATCAATATTAAAATTCTAGAAAATTTAAATATGTAATGTTCATATTTATTTGATTCCACAATGAAATTGTATTTTTCACTCGAATTATTTTTTAATAAGTTAGAATATCGATAAACTTGATCTAGGCCTTGTATGGGAGGGATTTAAATCGGATTAAAATTGAAAATATAGCCGTTATTGTTGACTTTTATTAGACGGGTGGGCCCAATAACGGTCATATTTTCAATTTTAATTGAATTTTAATCACTCCCGAACATGGCCCTAATATGATATTTATTATATATTTTTAATTTCACGTTCGACCAACGACCAAACCTAACAATTACTATTTGCGGCGAAGAACAAACCAAATTATCTTTGAAAGAGAATGTCCAATGAGTGATCCTATCAACAACGTTGTCTCGAGACAACTTGCTTACTTCAATAGCCAATTAAGTGCATCTTCAAGACTTCGCGATTAGTCACTGTTGGAATTTTCAGGTTAATATAGCATCAATAACAGTATCTTCAAGACTTCTCGATTAGTCACTAGTCCGGTGCTTCTTCGAGTATGTTCTGAAGAATAAGGCGCAATTGCTCGCTCATAAACTCCGAATAAGAAAATAAAACTGTGCCCCACAATCTGAAATCCACACAGAACTAGCAACAAATGAATTTGCTGGTATATATAGTACAATAGATTCACTGGGCACCAATCACACCCAAGCCTGGCTCCAAAATGTGATTACTTCATGCTATGTGTAGATACAGAAGAAAATCTCAATCAGAATGCAGAGCCAGGTGAGTTCGATTTTCGCAACAAAATGCCGTTAGCTTTGTTAATCTTGGAAGCAAGATAATGGCTACCATTGGCTTAAGGATCGTTTGCCACCATCACTCTCCTATGATCTTTTCAATCAAGGTGTACTCTCTGATGACAACAATATCTTATAGAGATAAAAATCATTAATAAGATATTCTAGCCACTATTTCAGGCCTAGAAGCCCCAAGGTATCACCCTCTAACTCACCGGTTTTCACCCACACACAGAGAACTCCCAAGAAGAGAGAACCAGAGAGCTCAAGTCGAGAGAGAAAAGGAAGAAGGAAGTCGTATGGAGGAAGCCAATGTTTTATTCAAAACATTGACCAAGGAAATATCTACCAAGAGCAAACCCCAGCCATAGATCAAAATCGAAGGCCAAACTTAATCCTCAACAAACACATGATCCGGGTCCACTCCATGTAACCAATAGGTGAATGCCACCTGGGCAATATAGAATGAGGGTAAAGAAACCGGCCCAACAAGTTAGGAGAACCACTGAGGCCCAATAAACTTACAGTCACTAGTCCGGTGCTTCTTCGAGTATGTTCTGAAGAATAAGGCGCAATTGCTCGCTCATAAACTCCGAATAAGAAAATAAAACTGTGCCCCACAATCTGAAATCTACACAGAACTAGCAACAAATGAATTTGCTGGTATATATAGTACAATAGATTCACTGGGCACCCATCACACCCAAGCCTGGCTCCAAAATGTGACTACTTCATGCTATGTGTAGATACAGAAGAAAATCTCAATCAGAATGCAGAGCCAGGTGAGTTCGATTTTCGCAACAAAATGCCGTTAGCTTTGTTAATCTTGGAAGCAAGATAATGGCCACCATTGGCATAAGGATCGTTTGCCACCATCACTCTCCTATGATCTTTTCAATCAAGGTGTACTCTCTGATGACAACAATATCTTATTGAGATAAAAATCATTAATAAGATATTTCATAGACTCAAGAAGTAAGCCCGAACAAGAAACAATGAAGTGTGTGAACATGATCAAATATAAAATATTTACCTCACTCCCAAGAATCGGCGCGGCTTCTCACCTTGTCATGACCATTTCAAATCCACCACGATAAAATCTCCAAGCACAAGGAACTATAGGACGATTTTTGAATGCTTCCCTTGCTCTTATCATCCATCTACCGTCCAAAGCAGCAGCTCTGACTGTAACACAACCACTACACTAGATGCCTGAAGATAAACTGATACAAAATGAGAACATAAGCATCAATAGATTTGTTGGCAAATAATGATATTATCGTGCAATAATTTGGGCAGAATACCGACTTGTAAAAATGAACGAGATAAATTACTAATGGTCGAGACAAGAGTTCGACTCTTTCTCCTTAAGACATGTAATTAAAGGCAGGTGCATCATTGGGACCCAACTATTATCCGGAAGTAGCATTTGTTGTGGTTCAGAAACGTCATCATAGTAGGTTGTTCCCCAATAACCACAATGACAAGCATACAGTTGACCGCAGTGGAAATATACCGCCTGGTACTTGATTCTCCTCAGCTGTAACTTTCTTTATTGGAGTTGCTTTAAAACTGTTGATTCCCCTTTCTTATATTGTCTTAATTTTACAGGCACGGTTGTAGATTCAAAGATCTGCCATCCTACTGAGTTTGACTTCTATCTCTGCAGCGATGCTGGTATACAGGTGCCCCCAAACCTTCACTTAATGCGAATTAACACGGTGCATTATTCATGCACTGCTTATTTGATGAACAATCTGACTGCAGGGCACTAGCAGGCCAGCACAATACCATGTCTTATGGGATGAGAACAATTTCACAGCCGATACTCTTCAGTCACTAACTAATAGTCTTTGCTACATGTAAGTGCCTGTCTCCTGCATGTGTTTTTCTTTCTTCCAAATTCTTTTGGTATGATTGCTAACTTCTTTTCCTCTTCAACTTAAAAGATATGCAAGGTGTTCGCGATCTGTTTCCCCATTGGTATGTTTCTTTCTTGCATGTTCTGTTAGATTTTTAACATTGTACATTTGTACTCGGTAAATTACAAGGTGCTCTACTTGATACTCATTCTTATATTTTCTTCAGTACCTCCTCCCGCATACTATGCACATTTGGCTGCTTTTTGTGCTCGCTTTTACATGGAGCAAGAGACAGCTGATGGCGGGTCCATCGCAAGCAGTGCTGGTGCTGCTGCAAGGAATACTCGGGGTCCAGCTGCCAATGTTGCCGTGAGACCCCTACCTCAGCTTAGAGAGAATGTGAAAAGGGTTACGTTCTACTGTGGAGACTTGAGAGTTGTCTGCTGAAGAGTTAAATTAACTTATTACATTGTTGTCAAGTTTGTCTTATGGGGAATCCTAATGAAACTCTTGAGAACTTGAATGTTTTATCTTTTGCCGAACTTAATTGATCTAAGTGTACTGAGATTTGTGCGGTGCGAGCATCTTTGTCTAAATTTCAAGTGACTAACTTTTTGTTTCTAAAGAGGACTATTTTTGCAATTTGGACGTAAAAATGTCGTGTATTCCAATGGATTCTGTAAACAGGCTTCAATTTTAAACAAATGCTGTTGAATCATATCGGTTTTGGGGAAAAAGTCGAAGTGAATAGTTAAACAAGCTGAGAGCATACATGATCAAAGTAAAGGGCAGAAAGTAAGAAAGGAACAAGTATTGTTATAAATTATGACGAGCTAACTGCATTAGTTGCAGCAAAAATAGAACGTACAAGTTGATAAAAATCTTTTTTAAGTTTAAAATGCAACTGCAAATCTGAAAGATAAATCTCTAGAAAATCACACAAATCGGCCTCTCTTCTTGTTGATTCAGCCACTGATTGATAAACTGAGAACGAAAAACGAATGCTGCAGGTAATTGCACAATTCGCAGGTATCCTCTACCGCCCTTCACTGTGCAATCAACTGGCACAGGTCTCTAAAATTTATGCCTACAAATACGCTAAAGTTAAGAATGATGCATCTAGCCCTGCATTAGCTTAAGCATGATGACAAATCATTCTGGTTGAGAATCATAGGCTTACTGTGCAAGAATAAAGTGTTTGTGCAGTAAAAAAGAGTTGAAAAGAGTCCCAAAGCTGAACCATCCATTTGTTTTTTACAGTTAATGCTGTTTGGCGGACTGCTATGAGGAGACACGAGCTCGTTGACCAGCTTGCTCTTCTAAAAGAGACATTGAAGAGTTCATGTCTCTCTATGCTATACATCGTTTGTATGGCGCAAAACCTTTTGTGTATTTTTCTTTACACTTCGTCTCAATGGAATCACATTCTCTGCTCTCACCATTAACTTCAATAACCGACCTGCCATCAGAATCAGCCGAAGTACTTGTCATTTGACACTCTTCATTCTTTAGCCCTTCATTCAAGGGAGAATCTGCAGCATTCTCTGCGGCTATTGGGATGCATGATGAGTCGTAGGGGTACACCAGACCTTTGTAATAAACCCACAACGGAAAACTAGAATGGTTCTCCATATTGTCGCGTTTGTTGCTCAATGAATGCTGTGGTAACCAGAAAGGAGGAGTTACGGTGTCAGAAACAAATCCAAAAGCAACCTGTGAATTTAAATTGTTTGTTGTTAACCCGTGAACAGGCTTTTCGCTATTTAAGTCACAGTTCTCATCAATGGCATCAGGTGGCAATGAGTTAGAGTTTTCCCCAACTGCTAAAGACTGTTTTGGAGTATCTCTTACCACAACTGTCTTTCCAAATAACTTAATACTTGCGCCAGGTTCTTCAGTGGCTGGATGCTCCATAGAACATGCAGCGCTTTGAGAAAACAATTCGAATATCTGCAGAGGTCAAGATGAAAATGAGAAAAAAAAATTAACTGAAATTTTCATTGACGATTAGATGGAAAGGGAAAAAATTGTAGAATACCGTGGTTGAATTATTATCCAGTACTGAAGCAGAAGATATTTGGAACGATAAATGAACATCCTTATCTTCTTCTGTAGCTAAGCTGAGTTTCACATATTGATTATCATTATCTGTAGATAGTAAGTTAGCAGAATGTGCATCCGTAGCACATGAAGCCAAAGAGAGACGAGATGTATGCACCTCAGCAGATTCAAAAGCATCAGAAAGAAGGGCAGATAAAACCGAGGTTGGAGAGAGATTCTCTCTTTCAGTAGCAGATATGTAGGGTGAGGGTGATCTTTCGGGTTGAAGAGATACCATCGATTTTGTTTTAGATGAATCAACTGTTTTACGAGGGTAAGGATGCAGAGGTTTCTTCTTTGGCCGAGGAGGGGGAATCTCAATTGGATTAACAGATCCCTCAGCATCAATACATGAATCACTGGTGACCTGGAAGTGACGACATTTTTGTGGGTTAATGAGCCAATGTACTACCAATCTTTGTATAGGATTAGTGCATAAATTAGTCCTTCATGATTAAAGGCCAACCTTTGCAAAGAACTTTTGGGCATGACTCCGGATTTGGATTGCAGTTTTGGTGCCCACATGTTCTATGCAACACGAAATAGTTGACGCATCAATCAACAGCATTAAGGAAATATATAACGAGTGGATGAATTCCATTTGCTGGAATTGAATAGCCTAACTTCGAACGCACCTTCGATTTGGCGCCAAGCACGGCCATACAGCTTAAGAGCCTCAATGAACCTTTGATGTTCTTCCTCCGTCCATCTTTCTCTCTGTTTCGTAATGGTGTAGGGTTTCCTCACCTAATATAGAGAACAAGACATCCAATTACGTGGCATTGATGAATAACTTGGATTGAATCACTTCAAAATGTAGTAAACAAGTGACAAAGTCGTGTAAGGAAATGACACCTTCAGCAGATAGCCATTTCCATTTGAAGCCAAGACATTTTGTGTTTCCATAGCATCCTGGCTAGTAACTCCATCTTGATCCTGTATTATTAAGAGCGGAATAAAATGAGGAAATTTCAAACATGGATCAAGCGAAAATGTAAATTTATCGTGTACCCAGTTAAATGAATTCTGTTATCTACAACAAGGTCAAAACATCGAGTCCACAGCTGCATTCAAAATGGAATCAATTGATTGGAGGTGAAAATCAAGATCTTTCCAAACCGATTCAAAATTTACAGATCAATTTCCTAAAATGAGATAGGGATATTGATATTGAGTGCTTGTATCTAAAGTTCTAAACTAGAGTTCCTGCTCATCTATAACCAAAACAGGACAATTCTCCAAGATTTCATTAAAAAGTGTTTAAATAATACATCCTGTCCTAAGACTTGAAAGACTAGCTACCACAACTTGTTTGAATACCCTTCCAATTCCTAAACACAGATTCCAAAATACTTGTCAAATTGAATCCAGAAAATTGATTTATCAGATTGACAACAATGGCATTGAGAGATTTGCTTCTTTTATGCATAATTTATCATCAAATACAGAAACAAATACTCATCCTTCTCGTCATTCCAAAACTCTGAGATTTAAATCTAAGTTCTTTAATCAAATTTACCCAGAGATTAATGGTTCAACAGTTAGCATATTATCATAATATCATAACTACAGACACTAAATGAAGATATACACCAGAGCAGTGCCACAGGGCATTAAAGCAAAAGCAAAACATGTACAGTTTTGCAGAAAAACACATACCTGAGATTCAGCAACCATAGCTCCAAGAATTACAGAATTAAGATTAATACTAAACAGTTCAAAGAAGTGTTAAAAAAGAGAAAATCTTGAAGATACAAAATGCAAGAGAGATCAAAAATAAAGGGTTAACAGTGAATAAATACAGAACAAAATCAAGAAAATGCGAAGAACAGGGGTCTCCACGTTGGATTTTTAAAATTTATTGCAATAAATTAATGATTAGAGAATTCGAGAAGGTGTCAAGAGTGGCAAATGCTCCTTCCTTGCTTCGTGGTTTTGGAAGTTTGTGGGTTTTTGTGGCTGAAAATAAAAGGGTCTATGACACGTGTCCCAAGATATCTGTGTCTTTCTCTCTCTTAATCTTGATCTTGAAGGGAAGGAAGAACGCTTGTTAGCTGTTCTATGGAAGACACTAAACCAACCAAACTTGAACGGGCCCCCACACATAATATTTTACAATATCTTTTCTTGTTTGGCTGATATTATCATATCGAATTGTTGGTTGCTTTAAAAATATTTCATTCTTTAGGGGAGAATAAGTCTTGTTTGGTCCCGTTATTTTTAAAAGATATTTTTTCCAATTTTTTTTTTAATCACACATTTTTTAATAAAATAATATTATTCTTAAATTTAAAATTTTTTCTTATTTTTTAACCTCATATTTTACATGAAAATACTATTTCAAAATACATTTTGGACAAATAAAAAAAATGATAGTCAAACATGCTCTAAGAAAACTATTAAATCGTAAGATCGATTGAAATCATTATTCTGAAAACACTGGTTTTGGTTCACCTAACTCATCATGCCCTTCAACGTATTTAACTATAGAATCGAACCAAAACCAAACCACCTGGTTTCAATTCAATCCAGTCCGATTCTTTATATTTAATAATTATAAAAATAAAATAAGAAATCACTTGTCAGATTGAAAATAAATAAAAATGGAGTATGAGACCGCTTGTCGTTCTTGTAATATAACAATACAAAAATCTATTAAATAAAAAATAAACTCAAAAACTCAAGATGAACTCATAATTAAGAAAAAATGATAAACTATAAAGCACAGCATAAACTGTAAAATCAATTTATAAAATTAATTCTTAAGAAAATTCACGTAACAATATACTGAATGATCTACTGAGCACTAGCGCTCATCTTATTTTAAGCACCAGTGACATGTTATATACTTTCATTGGTGGAAAAAGGGTTATACCACTTGTACATCAAGTGGTGTACATCAAGGGTTACACCCCTCACATGGGGGTGGGACCCATTGAAATAATAAATGGGTCCCACCCCCCATGTGAGGGAATGTAACCTTCGATGTAAAGTTTGATGTACCACTAGCATGGTCCATAAATTTATGGTGGCTCTTAACATTTAAATTTAAAATCAACTAATGGATTCATATGACACGCCTCCAATGTTTAACATAAAATGAACGTTGGCGCTCAATAGATCAATCGTGTAACAATATATATCAAGAATACATGTAGTATTTATAACCTTAGCCCTTGTTTGAGCCCCGTCTTTTCTTTTCTTTTCTTTTTCTTTTTTTTGTCAAAATGCATTTTAGAATAGTGTTTTGTTGAAAAATATGTGGTTAAAAAGTTAGAAAAAGTTTTCGATTCATATGTAAAATTATTTTATAGGAGAATGTGTGATTGAAAATAAGTTTTGAAAAAATGAATTTTTTAGAAAATAGGGACCAAACATAGGCTTAATATCTTTTGTAGTCATCAAAGATTTTGATTCTTTCTAGCCGATCAATTTAAAAATAACAAGAAATTTGAGTTCTTATGAAATATTGAACTAAAACTATATTTTTTTCCCATTGCGTTGCATTATAAGTATGAATTTGTAAAGTATTTATAAAATTATTTAAATTTGAATTTTGATAACACACTAGATTTTGCTTTGAAGGAAAGAAGAAACATTTGGAAACTTAAATCTTGACATTAGAAAATTTTGGGGTCTAATCTTCAAAGATTTGGTGTATTTTTGTGCAATGCACTAACAAAAAGAGAAATTCAAGAGAATCAAATTCACTATCGGTTCTCAAGGTAGTACCAATAATCGATTAATTCTCAATATATAGTCTCAAAATCGACCCGTTTAGTAGAGGAACCATAATCGAAACGATTGGTTCTATTTGGTTCCGGTCCGATTCCACCAATTTCGGGAAAAAAACGCTCACCCCTATTTCCTAGGTCTCCTCCTATCCCGAAATTGAGCATAGCTTGGCACCCGTGTTACGGATTCTATTGCCCAAGAACAATCAAACTATTCGTGCTTTATTGATATTTTGCTTGTGACTTCAATCAAACTATTTTGGAAATGATTCACTTAGTGGTTTTGATAGTTAAGATTGTCTAAAATAAAATCGAACCGTTTATCTAATATTTAATAATTAAAAAAAAGGTTACTTTGCTAATGAAGAAATGTAATTTATTGGTTCAATTTGTACTCAACAAATTTATTTGGTAGTTGGCTTCTATTGGCTCTTAAAAGGTCAAATAACGATTCATGACAGTAGAAGCTTCAATTAATGGTTGAACTTTGTGCTATTTCATTGTTATAACTTGAATGTAACCAATACTTTAGTTATTATTATGTTTATGCCTAGATTGAGATTTTAGATCAATATATTTATATTTTCACTTGTTTAAAAGATTTTATATTATGTCTAAAGCTGCGATTTAAAATTTTTGAAAATAGAAAAAAGAACTATTCAAATCGAACCATGTCCACTTTTACTGCGAGCCTTCAATTTGTGGGTCTATATGAATATGAGGATTTGGACCAACTTTAATTGAAGTAATTGAGATTGTCCCACCAACTATCATTTTTAGCCTAGAGAAGATGAGATAGAAAGAGTACAAATGCAGTGGATTGAGCTCAACAGAGTGCCAAACAAACCAACTTAAATTTTTTGTTTCCCCTTTACTTGTGTGGTTGAGAGCAAATGACTTGTCCATATCTTGTCTCATATCAAAGTTGCAAGTGATTAAATCTCAATAATGGAAATAAATCTGGAGGCCTTAGGTGTGTTTGGGTAAACTTAGTCCATGCGTTTCAAAATTTCAAGCGCCACAAAGTCTACATTGGCTCAGATTTATAAACTGTTTAGAAACGCTAAATTTATTTTTTATTCACATTACGATAGATCCATAAGTACTACACATTGCCCATTTCTATTTATTTATATACACTTCATAAACTTGCGTCAATATCTTATTTGCGGAAAAAGTATTTTGAGAGTTTATTCGATGAACGGTTTGACTTTGATACCTAAATAAATAGGAATTTGAATATTTTTCAAATATTGTCTAATTAGGGTGTGTTTGTCTTTCATTATTTTATTGGTTTGTGTGTAAAATATTTTATTTGGTGAATGTGTGGTGAAGAATCTTAGTGTAGCAAACAATTTTTTGAAATAATGGTAGACAAATAGGGAATTAATAAGAAGCTTAATGTGACTTGTGTGGACCGAATAATCTTATGATTAAAAAAAAATAACCTATGGCTTGTCTATAAAGTTTGTAGAGTGGCTCAAAGTTCTTGAACAAGTCTTGTCGTGACACAAGTTCGATAACCACTTATTTGATTACAAGTTCATGTCATTTTTATATATATTTATCAATTCGTGATTGGTGAATATTGGACAAGCGAAGTCAATAGGATTCACTATACGGCATCCAATGATCTTGTCATATCATTTATGGATAGAATTCTATATCCCAAATTGTCACTATCATCAAGTAATCTTTATGCTCATGTAAACATTAAGCTATCATTTTACTTTAGCGTATGAAGTGACCATATTTTAGGGTTCGAATGAAGAAGCATGTAAAAAAAATTTTTTTTTTTTTTT